CCCGCCTCGGCCTCCCAGAGTGCTAGGATTACAGAAGTGAGCCACCACGCCCAACCTTTCTTATATTTTTAAAATTTTCTATAACAATAAGAAGTTTAGCTCAAAATAAGAAATTACAGGCTTTATGAGTTGCTTTGAGATAACTTTGGCAGGGAGGCAACTTTGGGGCCCTATAAACTGAATCACACCTCCTGAGATGGCACATTCATAGCCTACCTTTAAGATTGGCCTTTTGTGGAATTGTGCCAACAGACACAGCAGCTGCAGTGGGCACTGTGGTAAAAAGGAGTGCTGCCAGTGGTAACCCAGAGGCTACTGCCACCTCGGCCTCTGCCCTTTCATTTTTTTAATCCATAGAAGCAATAATAGAATAACAACTTACCCTCTACTGAGTCCCTACCATATACTAAGCACTTTATCTGCTTAATCTCATTTAATCCTCCCAACATCTCTTCCGAGAAGGTATGATGAACATTATTACCTTTTTAGTGATAAAAGAAACGAGGCTTGGACAAGTAAAATAACTGCCTGAAGCCTTCACATCTCATTTTGGTGTTTCTTTGGCCCTCTTCCTTTTTTTCTCTGTCCTCTTTCATTTAGTCTAGCTCATCAATATTTATACTGATCTCTGAACTGAAGACCACAAATCCAGTTTTCCATCTGTCTGGAAAAAGTTTCTTTCTTTTTTTCAAAGTTAGATACACTAGGCCACGTGGAGGCAGGCTTTCCTAAGAGCACTTCCGCCTTCCTTCTGGCTTTTAATTTTTGCCCCTGGGGCCACAACCATCTTTCTCACTTGGTGGCAGCGCAACCCTGAGCCTTTTCCTCCAAGATCATCCAGGTCAGTATATGTGATTACTTTCAGCCCCCTGAGAGAGTGGGCAGCCAGGAGGGCATAGTTCTCTCCCTCCCACGCCCTCCCGCCTGGTCCTAGGCCCTCTGCTCTCTTCAGCTCCCCCTTCTTGCTCTATCTCCTCAGATCTTTTTCTCTTTTCTCCTTCGATTCATTTTCTTGGTCTCCATTTCAGCTTCATTCTTTTTATTATCATTGCTAAAATCAAATACCAAATTACTGTATTTGAAGGAGACTTTTTTTTTTTAGTGCAGTGATTCCAGGATTTGTTCACTGATAACACAGCCCACTAATGGACACTATGCCTGACAATTCCCTTCTCCTAAGTCTGGGTTTTAGGGCCCAGTTTATTACTCTATAAATGCTTCACCAAACTTAGGGCGGTGAGTGAGTGCTGATGAAACAGGGATTGAATCCCCACTGAATAGGAGGTACAGAGGGGCCTTCAGATGCAAATGACCAGAGCACTCCAGATTGGAAAGAACTGTAGAGTGGACTTTGGAAGGCAGAGTGTCCACAGAGCCAGCAGTTATCTCCTGTCTATTCATCTCCTAGGCTGAAGCTCCTGAGGGACCCACATCAGTATCTTGCTACCCCAGAAAGGCCAGGGATGGCAGTTTTCCCAAACTCCTGCCTCCCCAGATGTCTGTTCATCCTCACCCTTCTGCAGTTGCCCAAGCTGGATGCAGGTACGTGTCTCTCTCTCTCTCTGGCCTACAGGACTGAAAGTAAGCATCCCATTTGGCTCTCCCCAGAGATCTCCACTGGGGTCCAGACAGACCCTCTCAGGCTGTCCAAGGTATAAGAGGCAGAGAGGGGGGACACTGCGCTTTGGTGGGAGTCTGGTCCGTGTGGATTCCCAATTCCCACCTCCACAGCCTGTCTGATCCCGCTCATTTTGGGCAGCTCACTTTGATGTGATTGGACCCCCGGAGCCCATCCTGGCCATGCTGGGCGAAGACGCCGAGCTGCCCTGTCACCTGTCCCCGAACGTGAGTGCGGAGCACATGGAGCTGCGGTGGTTCCGGAGGAAGGTCTCTCCGGCCGTGTTGGTGCACCGGGACGGGCCAGAGCAGGAGGAAGAGCAGATGCCTGAGTACCGAGGGAGGGTGACGCTGGCGAAGGACGACATCTCCGCGGGGCGCGCTGCTTTGAGGATACAGGGCGTCAGGGCCTCTGATGACGGCGAGTACCAATGCCTTTTCAGGGAGAATGGGAACTACGGGCTAGCCCTCCTGCATCTGAAGGTGGCTGGTGAGTGACGGGTTTTGACTTTCTCTGGTGACTCCATGTGGTATATATTTTCCTATGGATCAGTTACTTTGAAAACCACCAGATTCATTCTCAAAATCCCTTTTAAGTTGGAGGGGGTTGACAGGCCTGGAGTAGTAGAAAAGTAGAAAAGGGGTTTGTGTTGAGAGTGAGGAGAGAGCAGCGAAACGTCTTTCTCACAGAACTTTATTTCAATTATCTCTTGTCCTTTCCCCTTAATAATAGGATAAACATTTCCCCTCAATAATAGGACAAACATTTCTCCATGGAATTAATTAATAAATGTAAGCCGTAAGAGCTATATAACATTCTTTTATACCAGTACACCACAATTTACTTGATCAAGTCCCAGAATTGGGCGTTTAAGTTGTGTCTATTTCTCAGATCAAAATAAGGCTGTAGTGAGCATGCCACACACTTTGAGGCTGCTTTGTGGATTAGTTTCTCAGGATTGATATCCTAAGATTATAGAGCATGGCCGTTTGTTAACATTCTTGATTCATATACAAAAGATTTTGCTTTTGTTGGGTTTGTATGTTTTTGGTTTTGCTTCAAGCTAAAATTCAGAGGGGAACAAGTTTTTTAAAAAGATAAACATTCAAAAGGAAAGAATGCATTGAGGTCTGACTTTCCCACTTACTAGTGAATGACATCAAGCAAATCTCTGAGTTTTACTGCAAAGCAGGGGAAGTATTTATTCAAGGTGATTTCTCAGCAATGAAATAAAATTAGACAATATTTGAAAAACTGCTTTGCCAATTCTAAAAGCATTATAGACTTGTAAGATATTATTACTGTGCTTTAAACCGATCTAAAACATATACAAATATGTTGCCTTTCATATATATATATATTCAAGTAAAGATAAAGTTTGAAAAATACCTGGGTGAAATCTGGATTCCTGTTTTATAACAGGGTGTCCTTGTATCAGCATTGTGTATAACTCACATTTTGTTTTTAGGAAAGAAGTTTCTTAAAAGTTGATTATAAAAACCTAGAGATTTAATGGCACAAACCTGTTGTTACCTTTTATAAGTGACAGACACCTTTGAGAATCTGCTGAAAGTGTCAGCTCCTTTCATGAAAAGGATATGCATTCTCATATATACACACAAACTTGGAATATGGATTTAAACCAATGGTTGTGGAAATGTGTTTAAGAACTCTTCTATGTAACTCAGTGTTTCCCTGTACCCTGTGGAATTGGAAGAAAAAAATAGGCTGAACAGACAGGAAATACAGCTTTATGTTGATTTATGTTATGGCAAAATGGTGTATGGGAAGATGAGGTTGAAACCATTTAAGAAAATTTCTGAATCAGCATCACAGGTAAAGGAAATGTAAATTGTTAGTTACAATCTGAGAAATTCCAAACGTCCTTCTCAAGGATACTCCTTCTCTGTTCATCCTTAAATACCCAGTCCTAGTTCTCTTCCTCCTCCCCAAAGCTTTCTCCTAATATTTCCAACCACACAGCATCTGCCAGCTCTGAGCCCTCAGCCTAGACCATTAGCCTGCCTCTAAGCCATTGGTCTTGGTATTCCTGCTAGGTAGTGTTCCTTAGTGTTCCTGCCATATCTGTTTAGCAAACTTCTGCCGACATTTGAAAGGCTAGATCCCAATAAAACATCCTTCTCTGATAAGGTACATGAAATTTGTTTTAGTGATATCTCAGTTTCCTTGTGTAATGAAATATGGAGAAGAGGTCGTCCCATTCCCAGTCCACCCACTTGTGTGCCTCTCTCTCTTTCTTTCTCTCTCCCTCTAAATCTGTTTCTGAAACTACATAGCTCTATAGTTATAAGGCTACGAGAAGGGTGTCCACTAATAGATTATGGCCAACTTTTCCCTCCGTAGCTCTGGGCTCTGACCCTCACATCCATGTGGAAGTTCGAGAGAGTGGAGAGATCTCGCTGGAGTGCACCTCAGTGGGATGGTACCCAGAGCCCCAGGTGCAGTGGAGAACTCCCAAGGGAGAGCAGTTTCCATCCACATCAGAGTCCAGGAATCCTGATGAAAAAGGTCTATTCACTGTGGCTTCTTCAGTAATCATCAGAGATACCTCCATGGAGAAATTGTCCTGCTACATCCAGAATCTCCTTCTTGGCCAGGAGAAGGAAGTAGAGATTTCCATACCAGGTCAGTGAAACCAATGCTGCATTCTTATGATGACACAGTTTCAAGACCACACCACCTGGACACTTGCTCAGAGTGACCTCATGGCAGAGTTGTCCACTTTCCCCATCTAAGCTCTTGCCCACAGACTTAAGGAAATCTCACCAACTTCATTAGAGGAGTAAAGATTCTGAAGGCATAAATCTACTTAGATCTCATGTACATTCCAGATTTTCCATTTTAGGAGATATAACTGAGATAGAGAAGCTTTATCCCTGGGGGCCTTTCTAATCCAGAACTTTCTCTCCTCAAATAAACAAGATCAAGTTATTTTTCTAATTTCACTATTTCCACTCTTACCTTCTTCTCCCCTCCCCATCTTGTGCTAGAGCTCTGTCTAGGTTTCCAGAGCCCTCAAGGAAGCAAATCCTCTCATTATTCTCCAGATACTACCTCTGGGCCAAGTAGGAACCTTTGCTTATTCTTTGGTCAATGAGTCCCATTCTATTACACACAGGTGACATTTCCCCTTCCTTCTTTACCTTCCTCATCCTCTTGGCTCCCATTCTACATTAATAGTTAAGGAAGAATTTCCATATAACATGAATAAATCCATTATATTCATTACTTCACAGGTCCTGTCCCAAAATGACTCTTCATTTCTCTCTTTCTCTGCCCTCTCCTGCTCAAGGTCAAATTTTTCCTGAGAAGTTTTGAGTATTATTTCAGTGACTATTTTTTGCCATAACAGGAATGAGAGTGTCCCAGGCCATCCCTTATTTCTCCTCCTTTGGAATCAGAAGAGAAGCTGTACTTGCTCAGAGTTTCTCAACTAATGGCCTTCTTGGGGATTTTGTTTTAGCTACTTCCTTACCAAGTCTGACTCCCTGGATAGTGGCTATGGCCGTCATCCTGATGGTCCTAGGACTTGTCACCATTGGGTTCATATTTTTCACTTGGAGACTATACAAAGAAAGATCCAGAGAGAGGAAGAATGCATTGAGCCCTAAAGGTAAGTCATAGAATCCACAAGAGCTACCTGTCAGGAGTGCTTCAGAGAAGGTCTATATCCAAGTCCTATAGGATGACTTCCAATAGAAGATATGTGATTCTAGAATTCTGAAAGTTAGAAGGAATCATAAGCTCCTGAAGTCAAGATACCCAATATGAAGAGGCTTGAGGCTTAGACAGAGTCAAAACCAATTCTAATCGAGATGTTAGACCTGATGTTTACTCACTAATCCCCCTCAGACCCTAACCCTGATCCTAAGCCAATAGGAACTTCCTGCATATTTCTTAGAAAACAAAACAAAACAAAATCTTTGTTCTGAATTTATTGATAGTATTTCAGTAATCAGGTAGTCGTGAATTAAACAGTTCCTCCTTTATGTGTTTCCCACACCAATTTTTTCCCCTCCCTCTTGTTCAGTATAGAAAGCCACTGAGGTATTTTTGTTTGTTTTCCAGACAAAGTCCTGGAAGAGCTCAGTAAGTTCTGTCTTCTCGTCACTATTTTACTCACGAAGTTTTTCTCTCTCTTATTGTATAATCTATCAATGACTATCTTTCTCTTTCATTGCAGAATGGAAAAGGTCTCCATGGCATGCAGGTCAGTACCTCTGAACTTCTCAGGGGCTCTAAGGTTCTATCCCCTAAGAATTCAAAATCCTGTGATACTTGGAAATGAAAACACTAAACGCACTTTAATGATGAGGATAGGAAAGGAAAAGGTGATGGCAAATGGCCTCAACACTTTCCTTGAGGCACACAGAGGGCCCTTGGAAGATGGTTAGAGACAAGCCCTCTCTGACAGAGTCCCATTGGGCACTGGGGACAGTCACCCTCTGGCTGCTGGTGAGGGAGGGAGCCTGGTGGGTATGGAGACAAACAGCTCTCCCTCTGAGGAGACCTGTCAACTCCTAGAACAGTGCTCTATTTCTTCGAGAAGGAAAAACAGGTCTTATAATCTCTGACATTCACTGATGGTCAGACTTGCTCTCTTTCCGTCTCCAGTGGATATGACACTGGATCCAGACACAGCCCATCCCCACCTCTTACTTTATGAGGATTTAAAATCTGTTCGGCTGGAAGATTCACGTCGGATACTACCTGAGAAACCAGAGAGATTTGACTCCTGGCCCTGCGTGTTGGGCTGTGCGGCCTTTACCTCAGGGAGACATCACTGGGAGGTGGAGGTGGGAGACAGGACTGACTGGGCAATTGGCGTGTGTAGGGAAAATGTGCGAAGGAAAGGATTTGACCCCATAATTCCTGAGAATGGGTTCTGGGCCTTGGAGTTATATGGAAACGGGTACTGGGCCCTCACCCCTCTCCGGACCCCTCTCCTATTGTCAAGGCCCCTCCACCGGGTTGGAATTTTCCTGGACTATGAATCAGGAAACATCTCCTTCTACAACATGACTGATGGATCTCACATCTATACATTCTCTAAAAACATATTCTTCGGCCCCCTCCGTCCCCTCTTTTGCCTTTGGTCCTCTGGTGAGAAGCCCCTGACCATCTGCCCACTTGCTGATGAGCCTGAGAGGGTCACAATCATTGCTAATGCCCAGGACCTTTCTAAGGAGATCCCCTTGTCCCCCATAGGGGAAGACTCTGCCTCTGAGGTTACAGACACTTTCCATTCTAAACTAATCCCCACCCAACCCAGCCAAGGGGCACCTTAAGGAATATCCCAGTTCAGTTGTTTTTCTTTGTTCTAACCTCTCTCCTCTGTTGTGAGCTTCACTTGCCAGCTTCAGCCAGCTTCTGTTTCTTCCTGTTGGGTAGAGATTAATTCATCTTGTGAAAGTTGTATTGCTTCTACTAAAGAGGGTGGGGAGTTAGGACCTTCCTAATTTGTTTCTGTACAAATATTTGGGGGATGGAGAGGTGATTCTTAAACTACTTCTATTGATCTCCTATTCCTTAAGCCCATAACCTATAGGGAAGGACTTGGAGCAAACTCAAAGGATAGCTTAGGGATCGAGATGGGGGTTAGAGTGGCATGGGGTTGTGGCAGAAATGTTTTGGTAACAAAACTAGGGGTATGTGGAGGAACAGGTTTGAGGTGAGCAGAAAACCCAAAGGGTGCTGTGAAAGGACAATCTCAGAACAAAATCCCATAAAGGAATTTGGAGGGGACATGGTGATGGAGGAAAGTGAGGTGAACCCAGGCCCATGATGAATACCTGGCCTACCCCTAGAGTTTTTAGGGCCTATATCTCAAATTTTCCAAGCCATATCCTATAGGATAGAGGAGATTGGCCCTAATTCTGTGGGAACTGAGCTGTGGGCAAGGGGTAGTAGAGAGTAGCTAAGATGAGCAGGGCTGGAGGGTCCAATATGTGGGTTAGAGGAGAGAATTTTGGACAACACTCAAAAGTTGTCTGCACAGCCATGCCTTAAGCCAGTGGTCCCCAACCTTTTTGGCATCTGGGACTGGTTTCTTGGAAGACAATTTTTCCAAGAGATCAGGGTGGGGGTGTGGGTGGGTGGAGGGGAGGGATGGTTTCAGGATGATTCAAGCACATTACATTTATTGTGGAGTCAAACCTTTCTGCTAATGATAATCTGTATTTGCAGCTGCTCCCCAGCACTAACATCAGCTCCATCTCAGATCATCAGGCATTAGATTCTTGTAAGGAGTGTGCAAACTACATCCCTCAAATGCACGATTTACAGTAGGATTCATGCTTCTGTGAGAATCTAATGCCCATGCTGATCTGACAAGAAGCGGAGCCTATGCGGTGTTGTCAGCAATGGGGAGTGGCTGTAAATACAAATGAAGCTTTGTTTGGGCGCTCACCTCCTGCTATACAGCCTGGTTTCTAACAGGCTGTGAACCATGTTGGACACTGCAACCTTAGGCCCTGTTCCTCTCTCTGCACCCTTCTGTTTCTCCCTTGCCTGGAGGTCATTCCAACCTTACTTTGTTGAGTCCACATTTCCAGTTCTCCTCTTCCTTTTGATCTAGTATCTCTCCATTTCAAAGGCATTCCTGGAAGCATCCAGTGATATCACTACTTTATCAGCCACCATCTTAGCCTCATGACTCCTCAGCCCTCATCCCAACATCCAAACCCCTCAAATATGCTTTCAGTTAGCTTCAACTGCCATCCATTTCTATACTATGCCACTGTTCCCTATTTCCCTACCCAGCTTCACAACATGCTGCTTCTCCTCAGGGTCCCCTGAGTGCTGAGCCACTGTGCCCGGCATAGGTGGACTGATTGCACCTGTTTGTATTTGCCCCTGGGCATTTTCCTGTATACATGTGGCTTGTCTTTCCAATGGACTGCAAATGTATCCAGGCTTGCACCTTCCATTTTCATTGTACTTTTCCAGCTTCCAGGATAGATGTTACCCACGGTCTTTACCTAATAAATCTGTCTGATTGCTGAAAGAACCTTCCTTTTTTTTTTTTTTTTTAGTCCCCAAAAGTGGAACTGAACAAAACAAAACAGAGGAAAAAAATCTGACTGGGAATGTAGCTGGCCAAAGCTTTTGTCTAAGACCCATCCCAAGTCCTGATGGCAATGTGTTTACCAGGGCAGGTGGGCATAGAGGGTTGTTGTCCAATTAGTGTCCAACTATTTACCCAAAGGCCACAGAGCCAATGGCTACCTTCAGCCCCTGTTTGGGTGTTGACTTTATTTCTACTACTATAAAGGTTATTGGCCCATGGTGTAGGTAAGTGAAGTTACCTCTTCAAATTAACAGTACTTTCCCAAGAGAAGAAAATAGTTGGAAATCTTTAATGGTAGTACCTTTTAATTGTAAAAAAAAAAAAAAATTCATGGGTGATCTCTGGAAACCCATGTGCCTGAGGAGAGACTCTGTATTTCTGCTTGAGGACCCTGGTAGTTCAACGAGCCCACTTTCTCCTCTGTTGCTCCAAAGGAGGATTAGAAATAGTCCCCCTCACAGAGAGGGACTTAATGCGGTTCAGCCAGCACTGCTGCCCAAAGGGACAGAATGTGAGTCTCCAAAGGTTCACCAACTGGTGGGAAAATCATCTTACATGTATGCCTTCAGCTGAGAAATCATCAAAATCAGACATATTACTTATCACACCACAAAATCTACAAATTCCAAGTTATGTTCACACTAAAATATTATTTCCATTATTGTACCACATTATCTTTCTCATGATTAAGCAAAAAACCAACTTTCCCATCAATCTGCAGCCTTCACAGAAGATCGTGACAAAGGGAGGACAAAACATTCTTTCTTAGGTTGAAATTCCGAATACGAGATGGGTCTGTTATCATCACATTCACTACATTTTAAGCAAAATGTAACAACAATATAGTTCATTATCCACATTTTGTCATTGTCACTCCCAGGCCCCATATTCATTTTGTTTTCATTCTAGTTTTGGTGTTTTCCTACTAACTTCGGGTTCAATTCCTAGGTAATAATATCTATATAATCACATTCCCATGGATGTATTACTAGATTACTTAAAAATGAATCTGTATACAGGCTTATAAATCAGAAGACCACAGAAGTTTTACTCTGGAAAGGGGCTAAGAGAAAAATGTAATTGAACTTTAGTATGAGAAGTGACTGTTAACATTTACTCCAAACCCCTCCTTTTAGAGATGAGGAAAATAAAGAGAAAAGATAAATGAAGTGATTTGGTTAAAGGCACATAGTATGTGGCCAAGTCAGTATCCAAAGGCAGACATCTTTGCTATAGCTGTCCAAGACATCTTCCACTGAGCCAATGGCAGTTGGGTAGGAGGACAAACTAAGTTAATCTAGAGGTTGGAATGCTAGAAAACTTTTTAGAGGTATTAGCAAGGTGGAACCCACTGGCTCAGGAGATTCTCAGGCATAAGGAGCAACAGAAGAAGAAAAATAGAACTTAGCATGCTACCTTCTACTGGACCGAGGACCTGCACCTGGAGAACCAAACAGAAGGGCTCCTTCCTCCATCATTTCACAGATCCCCAGCACCCAGTGTCCCCCTCCCCTTGATCCTTCCTCAAACACTGCCCTGCCCACATGTTTACCTGATACTATACTCCTGAGTGGAGAGTATCATTTATCCTTACTTTAAAAGTATTCATTTGTTAGAAATGTGGTCAGTGTAACTTAAAAAAAAGTATTCATTTGTATTCCAATTATACTTTTAGAAAGTCAAAGAAAAACATAATCCAATCTTCTTTAAAAATGTATTTAGGGAGCTTTCAGACAGTTGACTACATGGAGGTTGTTGGAGGGTGGCACGTCCAAAGAGAGGGCATGGAAGCCTCCCACACACCTTGCCCTAGGCATCTCTTCCAACTGGCTGTTCACCTGTACCCTTTGTAATACCCCTTGTAATAAACCAGTCAACATTTATTTGCAAGACAGGTTTGAGAGAATCAAGGGTAAAGTCTGCTAAAGGAAGGAGGAGACTGAGTAGCATCAGCCCCTGGGTTAAAAGGGATGTTTGGATGAATCTTGGATCCCACGAAGAGGCAAGAGGAGACTGGAGAAGGAGCTAAGAGAAATCACTTTTTATCCATTTATATTATGATGCATTATGAAAATAAATACCACCCTAACACTTTCAAGACACATTGCATTCTCCCTGCACTTATTTTTGTTTTATTTTTTTATTTTTTTTAACAAGTTCCGTCATCCTACCTTAGGTTTTGTTTTTTTTTAACATTTATAATTTCATTTATTCAAGCTGGCTAATGCATATCCTCAATAAACCCATACTTTCAAATATTAAAAAATAGAAAAAACGGGAATCTTTTCCACAGAGCCTTTTTGTCTTTGAAAACTGCCAGCTTGAAAGTAAGGTGTTCTTGTGAAGCTCCAACCCTCAACAGAACTTAGGGATACTTCTGCCGTCTCGGTCACTCCCAGCAACACTGAGATTCCCTCACTACATGTCACCATCCATTAAGCAAGGAGTCCCCACGCATCCCGTCGTGCTCCCTTCAAATAAGAGGTCCCAGCATTATAGCACTAGCCCATTTATCAGGCCCAGGGTCCTGGAAAAGCCTTGGTTCCGCCCCTCCTCAAACCGGACTGGCGTCGCGCCCCTCGCCCAGCTATCCACACCTCAGCCTATTCCACAGCCCCGCTGTCCTGCTTCCCGCGCAGTCAGAGTCAGGCAACGCGACACCGACCCTACTTTGCCGGCTCCCTCATTTTTTAAAAATACAGTATCTATCTCTGCAATATTAAAATCCTCCAAAGCATTCTGTTTGTTTTAGGGGCAAGAAGGTAGTGGGGGAAACTGTGAGTCTGGTTGCGTTCTAGTGTGGGCCACAGAGAAGAGGAAACTCAAGTTGAAGAATGGATGATGGCAGCCACAAAAGGGAAATAGGCTTATTTCTGGAGCCGATGGGAGGGAAAAAGGGAGTCAAATGAGAATTCACTTGGGGTTAGCATTACATCCAAGTGTGTGTTTAGATACAAGACTTTACCTCAACACTTTCCTCACCCTCAACCTGAACAGATCTCACCCCAAAGTAAAAAAACAAACAAACAAACAAACAAAAAACCCATTCACATTCATTCTATTAAAAGTAACAATAATAAGTATTTAGGAACCTTAGGCAGTTGTTTCACTCTTTTAATGTGTAATGTGTATACTAAAATGTATCTGTAAAACCTCACCCAAAATAAACAGGGCTGCTACAGGAATCTCTCTCTCAGAATAGAGAAAGAAATGGTCACA